GCTACTGCTAAATACAAACTTTTTCAATACAAAAAACAAACAAACACTGTTCAGCCTTGTGCCATTTTGATGACTAGAGATTACGCCAACTAGACACTCCTGGGTAAGGTTATGGGTGGGGCCCAAACTATCAATTGTGTCTCAGCCTCATGACACCTCCCAGGCATAATAAATCTTTTTGCATTGAAGAGACACCTACCAAAGTCAAACTCTCTTTGGACGTTCGACTTCTGTTGGAGTTGGATCTCGTGTCTGGTTCCTCCGTCTCCTGTCATGCTTCTTGCTGATCCCAAGAGTAGTCAGTGAACCGATGACAATATTTGGATAAATTCGGGGCTCTGCATCTACCAGCCTGTACCCCTGCTCTCTCTGCTGCATCATCTGGTTTCCTGTTCATAAGTTCCCATAAGTCAAGAGAAGTTTGTTTTAACCAGACTAGACTTAATTTTCAAATTCACTTCTTCATATAAATCTCTTGTTTTATACAGCATACATGAGTGGCACTGGTTTTGCGTCTCTAGAGAACACAACTTAACACAACCATCCTCACAGTTGTTATGTCTGTATTAACTGTAGAGCCAAGCAAAATAAAACCTTTGACAGACTCAGTCTATGCATTGTGTATTGTGAAGTTACCAATTGATGCAGGTGTGAAATTTTTAGTTTTATTTACATTGAGTTGCAATCTTTACTGAGGTCTACAGTGTTTTTCTGTTTTTTAGCTTGGGCATTTGCTTGTTTTATTTTTTTTAATTTATTTATTTTTAATCAATTTATTGGGGCTCATAAAATTCATCACAATACATAGATCAATTGTGTAAAGCACATCTATACATTTGTTGCCCTCATCATTCCCAAAATTTGCTTCCCTCTTGGGTTCCCAGAATCAGCTCATTTTCCTCCCCCGCCTTGCTCTGCCCCCCTTCCCCATGGACCCTTGATAATTTATAAATTATTATTATATCTTATATTACACTGCCTGGCCTCTCCCTTCACCTACCCCTCTGTTGCCCATCCCCCAGAGAGGAGGTTATATGTAGCTCCCTGTGATCAATTCCCCCTTTCTACACCCCCCTTCCCTCCTGGTATCGCCACTGTCACTCCTGGTCCTGAGTGGTTCATCTGTCCTAGATTCCCTGCATTTCCATTTCCCATTTGTACCGCTGTACATCATCTGATCTAGCCAGGTCTGCAAGGCAGCTTTGGGGTCCTGGTAGTTGGGGGGAGGAAGCGTTTAAGAACTAGAGGAAGGTTGTGGGTTTCATTATTGCTATACTGAACCCCAATGGCAAGTGCTTCCAGTCCTCCTTGGTTTCAACAAGCAAAGCTGTGTCATCTGTGTATTACAGGTTGTTAATAAACCTTCTAATCCTGGTGATCTTGGTTTTCTTCGTATAGTCTCACTTCCTGAATTATTTGCTCAACAGACAAATTGAATAAGTATGGCAAATGGATGTAACCATGACACATATCTTTCTTGATTTTTTTAAGCTATGAAGTATTCCGTTGTCCTGAAATTTACTGGTGTTGGCCATTTGAATCAGAAAATCATACTTACAACTTCAAGAGGAAAGACATCCCATTTGTCCTCAAAAAGGACATTTGATGATACATATTGAATTATAATGCCGTTTGTGATTGTGCAATATCTATATGGTTTCAAGGAAATTCTATTAATACAGCTATTTTTCAAATTTCCTCAACAAACAATTAAGCAAGTAATGAAGAAATTGAAGAATTGTATCAATTTCTTCAGCCTCGAATTTATGAAACATGTGATTAAAATAAATTTGTAACTATTGGTGACTGAAATGCAAAAGTTTGAAACAAAGAGGAAGGAACAGTAGTTAGAAAATATCACCTTGATGACAAAAATGTAATTGGAGATCACAAGACAGAATTTTCAAGACCAACTCGTTTCTTACTGAAAATACCTTTCTTTCAACAATGTAAACAACTACACACATAGACTTTGCCAAATGGACTAAACAGGAATGAAAATGATTCTATCTGTGAAAAGAGATGATGGAGAAGCTGAATATCAGCAGCCCAAATGAATCTAGGGTCTGATTGTGGAACAGACCATCGATATAAAATGCTCATATATAAATTCTAATTGAAGTTGAGTAAAAATAAAAAAAGTAAAATGGAGCTAAAATATAACCTGAAGCAAATCCTACATGAATTTCAAGATCATCTCAAAAATTGACTAACTAATTAAACACTACTGGCAGAAAATCTGACAAGTTATGTAGTGATTTCAAAAACAGCAGACACGAAGAAGCAAAAGGTCATGAAAAAGAATAGGAGAAAAAGGTTAAAGTCAGATACCCTGAACTTGCTCTTGATCATAGATTTGCTAAAACTCATGGAAGAAATGATGAAGTAAAATAATTCAACAGAACATTTCAAAAGGCAGCTTGAGAAGAACAAGTGAAATGCTATACTAAAATATGGAAAGCCTTGAAGTTAGAAAACCAATCAGGAAGAATGTACTCAGTATATCTCAAGCTGAAACAAGGAAAGAAAAAGTCCAGTCCTCAAGTTGAAAGATTTTATGGGCAATTTTTGAATGATGCAAGAAACATAAAAGAAAATAGAATTAACGCAGTTATGACCAGCTTTTAACCATTTCAAGAGGTGGTAAAGGAGCAAGAACAAATGTATTAAAGGAAGAACTCTAAGCTGAAATGGATGTATAAGTGAAAACAAAGCTCCTGGAAAAAACTGATGAAGCACTGAAAACACTCACTCTTCTATATCAAAAATTTTGGAAGATAGCTACATGACCAATCAACTAGAAGAAATCCACATTTTTACCTACTCCAAATAATGGTGACCCAATGAAATGTGGAAATTATAGAAAGCCATTATTGATATAACCTGAAAGGAAATGTTTTCTGAAGACAATACTATAATTGCAGTGGTACACGGAAATGGAGCTGCAGGATTCAAGCTATATTTGTTCAAGCCACGGCATCTTGGCTCAAAGCAATGAGTGCTATAAAGATGTTTGCTTTTGCTTTATTGACTATACAAAGATATTTGACTCTGTGAGTCGTTTCAATGAGAATAGTAGGACTTCCAGAATTCTTCATAGTACTTAGTCTGAACCTGTACAAAGACAGAGAGGAAGTCCTTTTAACAGAACAATGGATTACTGGTTGGTTTAAAATCAGGAAATGGTTGATACAGAGTTTTATCTTTTCACCAATTTATTCAATCTGTATACTCAGCAAATAATCTGAGATTCTTGATTACATGCAGAAGAACAGAATATCAGAATTGGAAGAAGTCTTATTTACACCCACACTTTATGCAGATTGCACAATCTTTTTTGCTGATAGAGAGGAGGACTTGAAGCAGTGGTTGATGAAGATCAAGGATTGCAGCCTGCAATATGGATCAAAACTTAACATAAAAAAAAAGTTTAAGCCCAAATCATCTAAATTGGACAAAGAGATAATATCATGGTAAATACAGCAAAGATTGAAGTTGTGAGAGATTTTGGGGGGCTTTGGATCCACAACCAATGCTCATGTAAGAAGCAGTGAAGAAGTCAAAGAAGCTCCACATTTGATAAATATGTTGACCTTTGAAAAATGTTGAAGAGCAAGCTGTCGGGGTGGGCATTGGTGTGCACCTCACCCACGCCAGGGTATTTTCAATTGCCTCACATGCAGTGAACATTAGACGTGGAATACAGAAGAATGAGGAAGAATCAATGCACTGGTTTTAAGGTTGGTGAAGAATATCCAAATACAATGGATTGTTGAAAGAACAACCAATCTGTCTTGGAAGGTATTCAGTCAGAATACTCTGCTCCTTAGAAGTAATGATGGCAAGACTTCATCTCACGTAATTTGAACTTGTTATTAGAAGAGATCAGTCACTGAAAACGAGTATCACACTTGGTAAAATAGAATGTCAGCAAAAATATATAGTAGAGAGAAAAATTATCAATGAGACAGATTGACACAATGGTTGCCACAGTGGGCTAAAACGTAACAACAATTATGGGGATGGTGCAAGACCAGGGATTGTTTCATTCTGTTATACATAGGGTTATCATTAGTGGGAAGTGTCTCAAAGGCACCTAATGAAAATTGTTATGGAAACAGACCACTACATCTTTCTCTAGCCGAACATATGGAAGCTTTGATCTGCTGACATATTAGCAGACGATTGCCTTAACCATTGTGCCACCAGGGTCCCTTTCCGAGGGCTATTTCCTCCATATTTTTTTCTATTTTCTGTGCTTCTAGATTTTTAAGAAGTCCTATTAAAACTTCATTAACTTGAATCATGAGAGGTGTTTAGGGAGGGATTGCCTGATATCAAAGTACAAATTACTAGGCTTATAATTGTCACCCTGTCTGTGGAAGGCACATAGAGAAAAGCACACATTTTGCATCTCCTAAAATGCTACCAGTCAGACAACAATATACTTTTTTAATGGAAGAAACAATGCCCAAACGTCGAGCATATTTCAGTGCTCCGGGCTAAGCATAAACAAGTTGTACTCGACCCTCTGAAGCCACAGAACATGTATTCCTACCAGCAACAAAGCTGTGCTCTACTCAGCAAGGTGCCCCCCAAACAATGAGCGTTCAAGTCAAGCCACTTTATGAGCTTTTTAAAGACACGAACTGGACAGAATGCTGTAAAAGCATACACAAAGTAAGACTTCCCTAGATAAAACAACATGTATGATCAACTAATCACTAGGGACAAATGATATTTTCATTCAAAACAGAGGTGAAGAATTACTCACTCACTCGCTCACTCACTGCCCTCAAGTGGATTCTGACCAACTTCCAGACAGTGATGATACTGCATTTGTGCAATCAAGCACACAAGCAATGTCATACAGTTCAGAACTGCTTTCATAAAATACGCACATATCGCTTTCCACCTGAGGAGGCTACAAAGGATGCATTGTTGTTTTCCACTTCCCCATCCAAGTGACACCCTTGCAGTGACTGTTAGAACAATGGGGGATGCTCATGGACGGTGTGGTAATGAGAGATCCAAACATCACGTATTCCAGAGGCTTGGGGTTTGTCGCTGACTCTACTGTGGTGGACGGGGATGCAGCCAGGAATGCAAGCCCACAAAGGTGGATGGAGACTTGTGGAACTAAAGAGGATTCACAAGAAGGCTCTCAGAGACCAGGTACCCATTTAACTATAAATATTATTTTTGTTGGTGGCATCAATGAAGACACTGAATAGCAAGACCTAGGAGATTATTGTGAGCAATAATATAAAATTGAAGTGATTGAAATCATAACCAATTGAGGCAGTTTCAAGAAGAGGGGCTTTGCTTGTGTAACTGTTGATGACCATGACTCCATAGATTATTTCTGAATTGTCATTCAGGAACACCATAAGGTGAATGATCACATGTGTGAAGTCAGGAAAGCCCTGGCCATGCAAGAAATGGCCAGTGCCTCTTCCAGCCAAAGAGGTTAAAGTGGTTCTGGAACTTCAGTGGTGCCTGCGAATGTGGTTATAGTGGGAATGACAGCTTGGTCAGGGTGGAAACTTCAGCGGACTTGGTCACAGTTTTGTTGGAAGCTGCGGCGGGTGGTGGATATGGAGGCAGGGGCATGGTTAAAATGGGTTTGGAAAATATGGAAGCAGTTTTGGAGAGTGGAGGCTGCAATCATTTTGGTAGTTACAACAGTCAACCTTCAAATTTGGACCATGAAGGGAAAAAAATTGGAGGCAGAAGCTCTGGTCTTTATGGCGGTGGAGGTCAATATTTTTCAAGTCCACGGAGCTAAGGTGACTATAGCAGTTCACACAGGAGCAGTAGCGATGGCGGTGTCACAACACTTTGATTACTATCAGGAAATAAAGGTTAGCAGGAGAGAAGAGCCAGAGAAGCGATGAGGAAGCTACAAGTTACAACAGATTTGCGAATTCATCCACCCACAGTGGTTGCAGAGCCCAGCGGCTACAAAGAAGACATGTTTTAGACAGTACTCATGTATCTGGGCAAAATAACACTGGGACCTGTGTCGGTGACTAGTTTTATAACAGGTTACAGGAGTACCCCAGTGCTTGACTGGACCAGTACTCGACGTCATCGGAATTTGATGTGAAATGTCGGGACAATTTTGCATCAGAGCTCAAACAACCAAACATTGGAATCTGACCCGACGCATGTGAATTTTGTAAACAAAAGCAGTTCATGTTTTGGTCACTTGGCATTAGTTGGCATTGTTAGTACACATTGTTTAAACCTTTTGCGGCTCTGTTCCAAAGATTTTGCTATAATCTTCTTCATTTTTATGGCTTTTTGTACTGTTTTTAGGTAAAATAATCATGGATCTTAAGAAAGAGTTTTTTGAAAAGAATCATCATGATAAGAACTGGTTAACCATGTCACTGATATTGCTGATAATTTAGTAAACCCTGTCAGAAAACAATTAAGGAAATACCAACGGCAAACCACATTAGACAGGTTGTTTTTTTTTTAAAAGAGAAAACCGGCCAGGTCTGAGTGAAAAAAGGCAAAAAAAGGGAAAAACCCCGGAAAAGCAGCTGCCAGTTGACTTTATGGAAGGGGATTCCCCTTGTGAACAATGACTCTCTCCATCCCTCCTCTGACATCCGTGTCCACAGATCCAGCTCCTCTTCATTCTCAAGGTATGGGCCATATGGTAGCTGTTAAAAACCTTTTTAGTGTTGTGTTTCTTAAATTATATTACTTAATTCTGAACGTACTTTGAAATTTCTGTGCAATGTTTTGTATAAAAAGGCAAGGTTCGGGTAAAAACTTGGTGGTCAAGAGCAGATTAATTTGTTTTCAGTTATTTCTTATGGGAAAAATTGATCTGGAACTCGGCCACATCTCGTCTCTACACTCCTTCTAGAACGGACTAGTGTGGAGATCTGGGGTTCTACTCTATTTTAGTTTCTGTTCGACGGAAAGTGTAAAACATTCCAAGAAGCGTTGTAATTCTCTTTCTTTCTATTTCTTTCCTTCCTTCCTTCCTTTTTCCCAACCCCCTCCCTCCTTTCCTTTCTTTTGCATTCATGCTGTTGATTGTTAAATGTAATAGCCTGGTCATGATGCTGAATAAATGTCTCTTTAAAATGTATACGTTAAAGGGTAAGTGTTAAAGGCAACTCAACTTGGTAACTATTAACATTTACTTATTCTAAAGATATTAAAATTTTAAAACCTGATTTAGGTCTTGAGAGATGAGGAAGTCCATCAAGCATCTGCCAATTATGAGGTATCTGAATTTGGGTGAACTAATTTTATTTATCTATTTTAGGCATTTCTCCATGAGAAATAAAAGAGTTTATTTCCTAAGACTTTGTTGGGAGTCATGAATGAGAGTTTATGATCTTGAAGTATAATGTTTATATTTTCTTAAGGAATTAAATCCAATAAATATGTGTACTTAATATAACCCTAATAGAAATAAAATAGTCCATAGATATATAACTGTACATATTTGACTCCTAAAACTGTATTTTGCAAAACTCTACTCAATAAGACTAAGAAATATTAACCAATCTAGAAAGGAAAATATTTGACTTTAAAAGGGCCTTATATTTCTGGTGAAAGTAGGGGAAAGAAGTAGTTTTCACAAATAAAAAATATATACCTGCTTCTTTGCCTGACTCTTTGAAGAATTCCTTATTAACAGCTAGCACAAAGCAATCTGCAAGATATGATTGGAAAATACCAAAGGTAATAAGCAGTATTCCATTAAGTGTGCATACAGCTAGTCTGTGTACATCGCTCTCTATGTGGGGATATAATCCCATTAGCAGGATATAATGAGAATATAGAGCTTTAAAGAGAACCACAGTAGTTAATAAAAATAATGGATATTTAGTAATATAGTTAGTCAACACAACATAAAATATAAATTTAAAAAGCCAGAAATAGGACTCATTGACTAAAGAGTTCATCAATACTGAAGTGAAAATTACATGTTATGATATTATCAAGCAATTATATAGCACACTACATTGCAACAGTGTTTTATAGATATTTATTTTTTAACACGCTAGTTTTTAAACAGTGATTTATCAAATGAGGAAAGCAAATCAGAGGTTGTACCTAATGTAATAGAACAAGGAAGTTAGGGCTAAGAATATCTTCTAAGTACAAGACTGTATAATTCCAGAATCTCTATTTCAAAAGACTATACTCACTTCCTGACTATCTCTTTACCTGAGAATACACTGCCTCTCAGAATACATCTCAGAATAATATGAATGGATTATATTGTTGAGTTCAAGTGTAAAGAAATATGAATTTCTATTTTATACAAATTTTTTGTGGAAAAAATACACATTAAATGGAAACTATAGGATTTATTTTTCCATCATCATAATTTAAATTTTAGAACTAACATTATTTTTATTGTATCTACTTGAGAAATAATTGAATAACCACCTTTACATAGGATGTGTGGTATAAAATACCTATTCTAAATTATTTTAAGAAATATATATTTTTCTCTCTGAGTTCATGCTTGTTTGTTAAGGCCAGTAAAATGTAAGCATTTATTTCTGAAATTGCCATTAAGTTTGATATTTTCTTTTTAAATCAACAATGCTAGTAATGAAGCCCAGGGAATAAGGCATGAACGGCCCTGAAGAGGGGGAATCTAGATTATGGCTATAAAGCAGGAAAAGTTATTAAAAGACTTATTTTCTCAATTTTCTTTTTCATGAAATTTGGCTGCATGACTGTTTAGTCTTCAATGTTCTTTTTAACATTAATAGTGAACGATTCACTAAATTAGTGTTTTTGTATTAAAAATCCATTTACATTTAATATTTAGTCATTATTTTAAATTTAAATTTTATTTTTTTTGCTGTTAGAGCCACATATCATGCACCAAGTCAACAATTTATGTATGGATGACTTAATTACATTGATTGTATTTTTCAAGCTGTTCAACCATTCTCACGTTCTTTTTCTGAATGGTTCCTCCCACTATAATATAAACTCACTGCCTCTTAAATTTCCAATAGCATTTATTGACCTGTGGTTTCAACTTGATCCCATAAAGAATACACTGTTTGGCCACTGTCCCAGCTGCCACCCAGACTCCGAGTTCACCCCAAGCCCCAGCGAAGACATCTTTGCCCAGGAAATCTTGGACTCCAGGGGCAACCCCACTGTTGAGGTGGACCTGTATACAGCCAAGGGCCGCTTCCGAGCAGCTGTGCCCAGCGGAGCTTCCACTGGGATCTACGAAGCGCTGGAACTGAGAGATGGAGACAAATCGCGCTACCTGGGGAAAGGAGTCCTGAAAGCTGTAGAATACATCAACAAGACATTAGGCCCTGCTCTGCTGGAAAAGAAACTAAGTGTTGTCGATCAAGAAAAAGTGGACAAATTTATGATTGAGCTGGATGGGACCGAGAATAAGTCCAAGTTTGGGGCCAATGCCATCCTGAGCTTGTCGCTGGCCGTGTGCAAAGCGGGAGCAGCCGAGAAGGGGGTTCCGCTCTACCGCCACATCGCAAACCTGGCTGGGAACCCAGATCTCGTTCTCCCAGTGCCTGCTTTCAATGTCATCAATGGGGGTTCCCACGCGGGAAACAAGCTGGCCATGCAGGAGTTCATGATCCTGCCCGTGGGAGCCAGCTCCTTCAAGGAAGCCATGCGCATTGGTGCGGAGGTCTACCATCACCTCAAGGGGGTCATCAAGTCCAAGTATGGGAAGGATGCCACCAATGTGGGCGACGAAGGCGGCTTTGCACCCAACATCCTGGAGAACAACGAGGCCCTGGAGCTGCTGAAGACGGCCATCCAGGCGGCTGGCAACCCAGACAAGGTCGTGATTGGCATGGATGTGGCAGCCTCTGAGTTCTATCACAACAGGAAATACAACCTGGACTTCAATTCGCCCGGTGACCCCGCACGGCCCATTACTGGGGAGAAACTGGGGGAGCTGTACAAGAGCTTCATCAAGTACTATCCTGTTGTCTCCATCGAAGACCCCTTTGATCAGGATGACTGGGCCACCTGGACCTCCTTCCTCAAGGGGGTCAACATCCAGATTGTGGGAGATGACCTCACCGTCACCAGCCCCAAGAGGACTGCCCAGGCCGTTGAGAAGAAGGCCTGTAACTGCCTGCTGCTGAAGGTCAACCAAATCGGCTCTGTGACGGAGTCCATTCAGGCTTGCAAACTAGCTCAGTCTAATGGCTGGGGGGGTGATGGTGAGCCACCTCTCCGGGGAGACTGAGGACACATTCATCGCTGGCCTGGTGGTGGGACTTTGCACTGGACAGATCAAGACTGGTGCCCCCTGACGCTCAGAGCACCTGGCCAAGTACAACCAGCTCTTGAGGATCGAGGAGGCTCTTGGGGACCAGGCTGTCTTTGCTGGACACAAGTTCCTTAACCCGAAGGCCAAGTGAGAAGCTGGAGACCCAAGGCGCCCCCCGCCCCAGGACAGATGCAGGCCTTGGAGCCTCCTCCCCGAAATAAACACTGATGCCCACCAAAAAAAAAAAAAAAGACAGCACACTTTCCAAGAAAGACATGGAAACAAAGATCCTATTTTTAACATTCACCGTTGTTCAGTTATTTACTCAAAATCTATATCACTTTTTTAAAGAAAGATAAGCCTTCCTCAATTAAAGACTTTGTCCCCTCCATAAAATCTGATAGAACATGAAATTATTTTAAAAGAACAGCTTTTTTCTTCCTTGTTCTTTAGAGGAATACTTAGTGCTTTCAACTGCATAATTAAATGAGATGATCTAAGAAATAGAGACTCCCCTGATTGAAAAATGTGCTGAATGTGTTAATTGTCCTGAAGCATATTCCCAAAACTAATGATTAGGGTGATTTGGGGCTTGTTATTAGAATAAATCAAATTAAAAAGTAATTATTTTATTTAGTAATTTTAATCACAAAATGGAGGGGTTTTTCTTTATTGGATTATGTCTATATTTTAACTCTGTATACTAACTCAGTTGCCTTTAAACTTCTGAATCATATAGTGACCAACCATATTGTATAGAATTTTATTCAATTCTTACATAAAGTAAGTGCCTTGCTTTTTTGAAATCTAAATTAAAAATACCTATTACTTGAATCTATTCTTTAAAACACTTTTGATAAAATCTAGTACCAATTCTATGTTTAGCACCATGAAATGTTTTCTGACATTTCAGTGATTTTGATCTTCTTTGTTTGAACATCCAGAGGGAATCAAATCTGTAAGACTTTCACCAGTAGTTCAACATCCTGAACATTTCACTACTTCTGCCATTGTTGTAGTTAGGTGCCTTTGCTTGTTGGTTCTGACTCTTAGCTGTCCCACGTGCAACAGAATGTAACACTGCGCCTCCTGGGCCATCTTCCACAATTGTTATGTTTGAGCCCATAGTGGCTGTCACTGTGTCAATCCATTTCATTAAGGGTTTACCTCTTTTTTAATGACATTTTACTTACCATGGAATTTTGGTGGCATATAGGTTATACTTTGGGCTAGTAAGCTCTAAGTCAGCAGCTTGAACTCACCAGCAAATTTGTTGATAAATTAGAGAAATATGAGGATTTCTGCTCCCAGAAAATGTACTGTCTTGGAAAATGGAGGGGGCAGTACTACTCTGCGCTATGCAATCCCATGAGTTAGAATTGAGGTGGTGGCTTTGGCTTTTTTAGTACTTGGATGACTAACATAAGACCAGCTGCTGTTGAGTGCCTTTCAACTCATACAATTAACATGTGCCACAGTACAACTGTGCTCTGTAAGGTTTCAGCGGATGACCTTTTTCTCTAATTCACTCACAGGTTTTCTTTGAAGATATCTTTAAGTGAACCCAAATTTCCAATATTTCAGTTAGCAGGCAAGCTTCGTAAACATTTGCATCACTAAGGGACTCCTGAAAAAAAATTCTAGATCACTACTAGTGAAGGTTGGTATTCTGGAAATCAATATCTGTCTTAGGCTGGGTTCACAAGAGAAAGAAAACAAGTGATGTTTATATGTGTGTATATATATAGATATAAATATGTATAGATCTATAGATAGATAGATATAACTGTAGCCATCAATACAGATAGATAGATAGTGAAAATGGCTCACACAATTGCAGAAGTAGGCGAGTCCAAGTTCAGAAAGGTTTCAAGTTTATGGATTAGGTATTAGGCTGGAAGCTTCTCCTAACACTCTTAGCTGTAAGGGCTGAATCTCCCCCAATTGACAGAAAGACCTCAGACTAGCAGCTGCAAAATAAAATTAATCCAAATCATCAGACCAGCTGGCAGGACACCGACAACTCCCAGCATTGGCAAGCAATATAACAGGGCATTGGTTCAAGCCCAAAGAACTGGAGGAAGCAAGGATCCCTATCCAGAAGGGAAATAAAAAAATAGAACAAATGTTATCGCTGTGTCCACTTACATTGGAAGCAGATAATACCCAAGGAAGCATCCTCTCAATGGACTATGTCAGAGTTAGAATCTGAATAAGGGAGTGGCATTCCACCCTAATTTCATCCAGTAAATTTAATGGTTATGATCATATTGTGGTAGGTGAGGCCATGGAAGATTTTAATAGACCTCAACTACAAAATCCTGAACCTCCTAGTTAACATAAAACCTGTCATAATTTCTTAACAAAAGAAATTAAGGAAAATGATAGAATCTTGAAATGATTAATATTAGGAAAAGCATTCTTCAACAAGTTCTGAGATATATGAATAACCATATGCAATTGACCTCACTGCTCCAAAATATTATAAAATGTGTTGTATGTCATGTTTTAAAAGGTGAATATAATGGATAATGAGTTATATTTAAGCTGATTGAGTCTGTAGATTCTAATAATATTATTTATTGCAATGTTGTTTCCATTAATTCAACAACAGGCAATCCTGTAATAGCATCTTGAAAATTATTTGAAATAAGATAAATATATACTTTTTGTATATTGTGTAGCCTGAAGCGGAATATAAATATGTAGTGAAATAATTCAATAACAGGTGGTTATCTTACATTATAAGCACTGAGTTCTAGTAGAATACTGGATTTAAAGTGAGTTTACCCAAATGGGAATAGAAACTTCACGACACTCAGAAATCCCTCTGCTACATCCTAAAGATGTGAGAGCCATAGCAGGAATATATATATATTCCAATGTTCATGGAAGCATTGTTCATAATAGCAAGAAACTGGAGACAGCCCATATTCCATTAATAGAAAACTAGGTAAAGACATTTTTCTACATACACACAATGAAATACTATGCATTGCTAAATTAAAAAATGATGATTCCACAAAACAATTCATGACATGGATGGGCCTGGAGAATATTAAGCTCAGTGAAGTTGTTCTTTTTGGGGCCATTGAGTGGATTCCCACCCATGGCAACCCGATGAACAAGAGAACACAACTCTGTCCGAGCCTGTGGCATCCTCACAATGGTTCCTATGCCTGAGGCCGTGTTTTACAGCACTGTATCAAACAAGCTTGGTAGGCTGTTTCCTCTCTCCCACAGCCACTCTACCAAACACAATGTCCTTCTCTAGGGACTGGTCTCACCTGACAATGTCCAAAGAATGTGAGATGACGTCTCACTATCATTGCTTTTAAGGAGCATTTGCATCTTCGCAGGCAGATTTGTTTGGTTATTTTTGGCAGTCCATGTGACATTCAATATTCTTCACTAGCAGCACAACTGGACTGCATCAGTCCTTCTTTGGTATTACTGATTCGATGTCCAATTTTCAAATGCACATGAGGTTATTGAAAATACCATGGCTTGGACCAGGCTCAACCTTAGTGCTCACAGTTATACCCTGTGTTTCACCACTGATTAAAAATGACCAGTGCCAGTCCATTGTTGCTCACTAATGCCTCGGATGTCAGTAAATGTGTTCCATTTCATTTCTGATGATTTCTAATTCTTTTAAATGTATGCTTCATATATTCCAAGTGTCAATTATTAGTAGATTTTTGCTATGGTTTCTGCTCATTTTGAGTTGTGCTCCTCAGCCAACCTGTGTCCAGAAAGGTTTTACACTCAGAGGTTTTGCTCCATTCATGTCACTGTGATTGACTCTACTTCTGACCCCAGAAGCCCATCTGCCGGCACCCTCTAACATTACCCTGTCAGGACCTGACAATATTTGGGGTTATGCATAAGGTTTTCAGCAGCTACTTCCTCCACAGGGAGCAGCTCACTCCTTCTTCCCCATCTGTTCTGAGTCTGGAACCTGTGTGGAAACTGACTCACTTCTAGTGACCCTACTGACCCCCAATTATTCCACTATGATTTGTTTTAAAATAATGTGGGTTTGCCAATTTTTAATTTAGTCAAACCATATACACATGGTAAGCCCACTTTACCACGTGTATGTAATTGGGTTTGGTTGAATTAAAAATTAAAAATTAATAGAAATTATATAGGAAAATATTTGTTTTGAATATTGCTTGATGAGTTATAACATTAACATATGCAGTAAGTAGGAAGTCAGACAAGCAGTTACATGTGCTTGTGTAAGAACTTGACAGCCTGTATATGCTGTTTCAATCACTTTGAGTATAACCGGAGACTGAGAAATCAATATTAAAGAGCAAAAGAAATGAAAATGTCTCAGTATACTAAATCTTATTTTTACTGTTACCACATCTAGAAATATAGATTCAGCTAGCTTGTTGTAAAACATCTTACAGTTTAGGTTTCCATTGCCTAATGACAAATTTCTGTCTTAGTCTTTTTATGTTACAAACTCTCATTGCCCCTTTATTCAATTGGAAATAGTATTATCTAAACATAAGGTGTAAATAGATAAATTCTGCAATCTGTCTGGCCAGTAAGTAAGGCTTTCAAGGATTTTTTCTTCTTCTCTACACTCTAGCAAACTAGGAAATGGTAGCACATGTAAAAGGGTAACTGGTAAAAAGTAAACCCAACCAGAACCTTACTGTGATATCTATAGTTCTCAACACACTAACTTAGGATTTCTTTTTTTACCACAAAATGAGAACTTCTGTAAGTGGAGTCCTTGAAATCACATTTAGTTACTTGCTACACATTATTTGTATTTATTTATAATATCAACGGTGAACAACCCTAATCTTCTTTTCCCAATACAGTCATGCAAGAAGTAATATTTATTTGAGGAATAACTCACTCATCACCTACTAAAGTGAAAGACATATTATCTTTCATCTGTCCATTCTTATAACTGAAAATGAGACTGGATTCCTGATGGAGCTCTTTGGCTTTGGAAAGCACCATGTCCTTCATTCAGGGGTACTACTCCTGTTTATCACAAGATTGAAAAATTGGCCAGTTTTTCATGAAGCCCAAAACAAGAGAAAGCTATTAAATAGGTTTAGGCTTCTGTGCAAGATGCTCTGCCCTTGGGCCATACGACCCAGCTGACCGAATGGTGCTTGAAGTGTCAGTGGAAGACAGAAGTGCAGTTTATAGACATTGCACATTGCAGACCCTTAGGGTTTTGGATCTAAGCTCTACCATACT